CCGAGGTGGAGCTCAGCAGCACCTGCAGGGCTGGGGCCACTCCCAGCTCGGTGCTGGGTGGATTTATCCTGCTGTGCACAGGTGCTTGACAGCTGAACATGCCCAAAAATCCAAATTAATCCTTTTTGCATCCCAGTAACGCTCGGGGACCCGCCTTGTGTGTCCCTTTCCTGCTCTCAGCACTGGGGGACGCTTTCCATCCCTCGGTGTCACCCTAAAGGAAGATGAAGAAGGGAAAGAGCCCATTCCCAAACGCTCAGAACGGGCTGTTTCTGGGCCATATTTCTGTGCCAGGGCCCTCGGGGTGTGGGGAAAGAGGCAGAGCCACCTTCTCCATCCCCCAGAGCTCCAGACTGACCCTTCCTCAGCGAGACAAAGAGACAGACCCTGCCCAGCACCGTGCAGGGAGTGAGGGGGGATCCAGAGCCTCAGGCACCTCCAGATCTCTGAATTATTAAAAAATCATCCATTTCCTTCGGCTGCCAACAGCACAGAGCTGAGACAGGCTGCCCAGGAAATCAGAGGAAGGATGGGCTGGGCTGTTTGTAGGAGAGCACAATGCAGTGATGGAATTCACTTTTGATAGAGGTGAAACACTCCTGGAATTCAGCCAGAAATYGGCATTTCCCTGCTGGAGGAACAGAGACCTTGTGGGGCAGCCCTGGGGGAAAAGGCCCAGTGACCCCACAAGGTGAAACTGTAACTGGGTACGGAGGGAGAAATCAGAGCTGATCCTTCCCCTGTTCTCTGACTCCTTTGGGGAGAAGTTCCCATGGTTTTCTGCCCCCAGGGAATGGTGAAATGGCCAAAGAGCAGCTCCCAGTGGGATCCAGCCCTGGATAAAGGACCTGCAGAGAGTTCCCCTCCCATCCCCACAGCCTGAGCTCCACTGCGGGGTGAGGAACCCAACAATGTCCCCACAGCTGCCCCATGGAAGGGGGGCAGAGCATTTTGGACATCCCAAAATCTGCCAAGAGACACACCTGAACTGAAACTCGGGCTCTGTTTGGGGGTTTGGGTTTTTCAGGATGTTCGTGGGAGTTATGGCAACTCCACACCTCTGAAAATCTACACTGAAGGATGATCACAAGAGCAAACAACATGAAGCAAGAGGGAAGAATCCAARTACCTGGATAACAGAAATATGCAAAAGTAGGGCTTGAAAATTCTTAAAATAGCGTTGTTTGTCCTGCATCAGAGACCATTCATTTCCCTGTGCTGTCCCAGAGAAAGAAAGTGGAGAATAAACTGAATAAATGCACTTGTACCGGAATATTTAATAGAATTAAATATTCCAACRGAATTTGAGATAGAATATTTATCAGAGCTATTCTGACCTAAGGATTTCCTGGACGTCTGAAACGTTCACCTCAACTCAGAGCACGAGATAGAGAATGGGAAAAGGGTGAGACAAACCCAAACAAAATGCACACACACACACACACAAAATAATCCAGCCTAGAAAGTGCATGGGATGTGATAAAATAACGTTTGCCCTGAAGGTTTGAAGCAGCACACGAAGCCATGGCAGTGCCTCAAACCTCACAAAGTTTSAGAGGATGAACATTTTCCTCGCCACTGATCACCAACCTGACAGCATCAAGCAGGATATATGAGGCTCAAAAATCAGCAAAAATGAGTTAGCAGTTTTGCCACTGAGATCCTGATGGTTTAACTGGGCTGCTATCACCTGGTTTAGTTTTCTGTTCYCCTCCCTGTCCATGCTGTGATCCAAACCCCAGATCCAGCAGCACTGCAGCCCCTGGCACCTCCCAGAGCTCCCCTAACAGAGACCAACCCAYGAAAAAATAACCTCAAATCTGCCCAAACAGTCACACTGCAGCTTCTGCAGGCTCTGGAAACCTCCCCCTGAACATTGCAGGGATTCACAGCAGCCCTGCGATCCAAAAGACGCTCAGAAAGAACTGAAGCTGGAAAACTTTGGCACTGTGATTAATAAAGTTACACATGAGCGACGTGGGGAGGGGCTGACKTCATGGGGGCAATTAAAAAAGCTCATTTAGGAGCTGCAGTGCAGGACRGCAGCTGTGGGGACAAGTGACAGTGGACACCTCTGTTGCTCCACGACTGTCACAGTGTCACCTGCTGCCTCCACACTGAGCCAGGAGCTCGGGCATGGCCAAGGCAGCTGAGCCCTSAAGCATCCTGTTATTAGCAGATCATTAATTAGCAACAGCTCCTCACTCCTACTGCTGTCTGGGCGTTCTCTGGCTCCAGCTTCTGCCTCCTGATCACTTATGAAACATCTCCAGTGCAGCAGCACATCCTAACCCTGGCTAATTAAAGGAACTGTCGCCCATAACAACACCAGYGCTCTTTTTCTAACAGAAAAAAAACTGCTAATTATTTTTGCCTTTCAAGAACAGAATGGTATTGATGGGATCAACAAAACAGGTGAGCACCAAAGGCAGCCAGGCTTTTGTGCTTGAGGGATGTGCAGTGCAGAGACAGCACGGAGGAGGCATTAACAGGCTCATTTTGGTCACTGCACCCTGGACASGAGCACCCCTGGCCTGCCACCCCACAGCTCCGGGGTCAGGGGCTCACTGCCACCTCCAGCACCTCCTGCAGCTGCAGGAACTGCCCTCAGGAAGGTTTGGGGTTTCTCTGAATTGAACTCAGCCCCGAGTGAACACTGCAGGAATGCCAAAGCATCTCCCCAGCTGCTGTGACCCGAGGTGGCACTGCCATCTGTGCAGGAACAGCAGCATCTCCACGTGCAGCCACATGCACCAGGCCGGGCCAGGAAGGGCCCAGCCCTGCTGACCCCACTGACCCCACAGCTTTGGGAAGGGCTGTACCTTCTCCTCGTTGCTGATGTTCCGTGTGGAGGTTCTCCAGGTGATGGAGGGGATGGGGTCCCCGGATGCCTCGCAGGTCAGCGTGATCTGATCCTCCAGCTCCATGGCTGTCTTGTTCTCCACGTAGGTGATTTTGGGTTTGGCTGAGGAAGACGAGGAGAAAAAGAAACCTTTGCTCAGGATGGGGCCTGCCACCAGCAATGTCTGCAACAGGCAGCACTGGGGACAATTGTGACAAATCTGCTGCCAGCTGGGGAAGGAGCAGAATGACATTTGAGAGGGCACCTCCTTGCAGGAGGAAGACACTTAAAAACTGTTCTGCTCCTCCTTCCAGCTGAGGCTGCTCTGAGAGGGCCGAGCTCAGGGTACACAATGCCCAGTGCCCAGGAGGTGGCAGGGGTGCTGGGGCAGTTACCAAACACTTTGAGGTGGATGGTGGCATCGGCCTCGCCAGCCTTGTTCTCAGCGATGCAGATGTACTCGGCCTCGTCGCTCTTGTCCACCTTGCGGATGACCAGCTCGGAGCCGTCGTAGTTGAAGCTGTACTTGTCCTCATCCTCCACCTCCTCCACGGGCTCTCCATCCCTGCGGGCACAGAGCAGCCAAAGGCTCGGGAATGGAGTCATGGCCCTGCAGCTCCCTGTGCTGAGAGGGAGCAGAACCTTCTCCCTTGGCTGGGGGCTCCAGAGCTGTTTCTGTCCTGTCCCAGCCCTTTCTCCCTTGGCCAGGGGTTCCAGAGCTGTGTTCGTGCCCTGTCCCAGTCCCTTCCCCCTTGCCCAGGAGCTCCAGAGCTGTGTTTGTGCCCTGTCCCAGCCTCTCCTGCCTCGGAGCTCTGGGCAGCTGAAGCTCCTGACACAGCAGAGCTGTGACCCCACCGAGAGTGGCCTCCTGCACACCGAGGCACCAGCCCAAGCCGCCACCAGCTTTTCCACTTTAATTTGTGCTAAGAACCTGCACCAAAGGCTACAGAACTCCACCAACGGTGTCCCTGGAGTGTGAATCACTGCTGACAGGGAAATGCAGGAGGCTGRGAGGGGACACAGCCAGCCTGGCTGAACATGGGGAGCACTGAAGGAATTCCTTCTTTTGCTTTATCTATTCAACTGTTCTGATTTCAGCCAACAGGATTTTCACCCTCTGACTCTCCTTCCCCCTGGGTGGACTCTGTGCTCCCTGCCCATCCCACAGCAGGAACTGATTTCAGTCCCATCACGAGGCCACTCTTCCTCTTGTGAGAGACACCAGCTCCTCTCACCCCACTGGAACATTCCTTCCCTCCAGCCCCCTCCCCAGCCCGGGGAACCCTCCCTCCCCCCATCAGGGCAGTGTCCCCAGCCCTCACTTTGTCCAGGTGACGGTGGGCTCGGGGAAGCCGTCGGCGTCGCAGGCCAGCGTCACCGCCTGGCTCAGGTTGGCCGTGGCGTTCATGGTGCTCTGGCGGGCRCGCACGGACGGGGGCACTGCAAGAGAACAGAGCCATGGATGGGTTGGAAAGGGTGGGATTTGTGAGAGGAGGGAGCTCCCTGAGCATCTGTGGCACTGCCACCCAGCCCTGCCACCAGCACTGCAGGATTTAATCCAMGGGGACGAGGCACGAGCTCTGCAAAGCAACCAGCACCGGGGAGAAAGGGCAAAGGGAACTCAGTGGGATGGCCACAACCTCCTGAGTGCCACCAACCCGCTGTGAGTGCCACCATCCCCCTGTGAGAGCCACCAACCCCCTGTCAGTGCCACCAAGCACCTGTGAGTGCCACAAACCCCTGTGAGTGCCACCAACCCCCTGTGAGTGCCACCAATGCCCTATGAGTGCCACCAGGCACCTGTGAGTGCCACCAACCCCCTGTGAGTGCCACCAACCCCCTGTGAGTGCCACCAATGCCCTATGAGTGCCACCAAGCACCTGTGAGTGCCACAAACCCCTGTGAGTGCCACCAACCCCCTGTGAGTGCCACCAACCCCCTGTGAGTGCCACTAAGCATCTGTGAATGCCACCAAGCATCTGTGAGTGCCACCAAGCACTTCTGAGTGCCACAACCCCCCATGAGTGCCACCAACCCGCCGTGAGTGCCACCAAGCCCCTCTGAGTGCCACCAACATGCTGTGAGTGCCACCAAGCTCAGCTCTAACCCTAAGCTGGACTGCCCAGTGCTATTTTCCTGTGAGCCCTGGCAAACACTGAYTCAATCCACGGCCATTTCTTCCAGGGTGTGAGTGGAGCTGCCCTTCCAGCAGCACCTAGGGTGGGATGTGCTGTGTCCCCCGAGYCCCCTCACCGTTGACGATGACCTGGATGTCTTTGAAGTTGATYTCTCCCCGGGCCAGGATCCTCCCCTCACACCTGTAGGTGCCCTCGTCTGTTTTTTTGATGCCGCGGATCTGCAGGTAGTTGTTGGACAGGACGATGAACCGCACTGCAAAACACAAAACAAGGGGAGCTCACTCCAKCTCTGCCTCACTTCACCCCTTCTGGGCTGAGCAGAGTGAAACTTCTCTCTCCACCATTAGAGATGCTGAATTTTCCACAATTCCTGGGCTTTTTCCAGGCTGTTTCTGTGGGAATATTTGCCTTGCCACTGGCAAAGCACAGCACCTGAATGACTCAATCCACACCCACGGCCCCGTATTGAGCACAAACTGCTTCTCCTCTGCYTTGTGTGGGATGGAGATGGACAATGACCCCAGCACGGACAGGAACTGAGCCTCACCGTCCTTTTTGAGGATGACATCCCTGCCTTTGTGCTTCCAGATGATGGTGGGGGGCAGCGAGCTGACCACATCGCACACGATCACAGCATCGTCCCCTTCCTTGAACTCCTGAGGGGTGGGGGCGTTCTTGAACATCAGCTTTTCTGGAAAGAGGGAAAGAGAAGGTCACTGCAGCCATGCTTCTGCCTCCAGCCTGAGGGAAGCACAGAAACCCCCAAATCCCCAGAAATCTCCTCGTTCCCAGGGGAGGACAAAAGTCTGAGTGAATGCACTGCCCACAGCACCTTCACTTCCAGCCTTGTGCCCACCGTGGCTGAATTAACATCCTAAATAATCCCCAGTGCAAAATGGAAACTTCCCAGGAGCTGCTCTTTCCCAGCAGGGAGAGAGAGGCTGCTCCAGGGCTCTGCTGGACGAGCTGAGAGCTCCCTGCAAACCCCAAAACCCGTGGGCCCCTCTTTACCCCACAACAACTCCTCTCCCTGTTCCTCCTGCCAGAAACACCACAATCTCCTCCTCCCACCCCTTCCTCTGCTGTTTTTTTGAAGGATTTAAGCTCTGAAGGTGCTGGTGACCAYCCAATCCCCCCTCATTCCACTCACCCCTACAAACCAAGAAAGGAGAAAGCTTCACCCAACCCTCCCCTTTCCTCCACCCTCCTCCTCCCCTTCAAACCTATTCCCAGCAAGGTCAAAACTTTCCTCCCTCCTCCTGCCTCACACACATGCAAAAAGAAAGCCCAGGGGGTGCTTCTTACGGAAGATTTTGACGTTGACAGTGGCCTCGGAGTCGCCCTCCTCCTGGCTGCTGACCACGCACTTGTAGATGCCGGCGTCGTCGATGTTGGCGTTGTAGATGGTGAGCGTGGAGGAGAAGTCATCGTTGCGCACCACCGAGATGCGCTGCTGGTTYGGGCTCAGCCTCTCCCCGTTCGGGGAGAACCACGAGATGTCCTTGAACTTGGCCTCCCCTGCGACTGTGGGGAGGAGAGAGAGGGTGAGAGCAGCTCAGCTGGGCAGGGCTCAGAACCCCAGGGCTGTAGAGCTCCAAATCCCAGCCTTACAGGGCTCTAAATCCCAGCCTTGCAGGGCTCCAACCCCAGGGCTGTAGAGCTCCAAATCCCAGCCTTACAGGGCTCCAAATCCCAGCCTTACAGGGCTCCAAACCCCAGGGCTGTAGGGCTCCAAATCCCAGCCTTACAGGGCTCCAAACCCCAGCCTTACAGGGCTCCAAATCCCAGCCTTACAGGGCTCCAAACCCCAGCCTCACAGGGCTCCAAATCCCAGCCTTACAGGGCTCCAAATCCCAGTGCTGTAGGGCTCCAAATCCCAGCCTTACAGGGCTCCAAACCCCAGGGCTGTAGGGCTCCAAACCCCAGCCTTACAGGGCTCCAAATCCCAGGGCTGTAGGGCTACAAACCCCAGTGCTCACAAACCCCATTGCTCGCAAACCCAATCTCTGCAGGGCTACAAAACCCAACCCTGCAGGGCTCCAGTCCCAAGGGCTGTGGGGCTGCAAACCCCAGTGCTCACAAACCCCAGGGCTGCAGGACTCCAAAAAACAGCCCTTCAGGGCTCCAAACCCCATCTCTGTAGGGCTACAAACCCAAGGGCTAACAAATCCCAGCCCTGCAGGGCTCCCACTGTCCCCACAGTGGCTCCCAGTGCCCCCACAGTGGCTCCCAGTGTCCCCAGAGCAGCAGGGACCATTCCAGCCCCAGCTGCAGCCACACTCACCTTGGCATAAGAAGAACTTGGACTCTCCAACACTGATCTCCCCCTGGCTGGGCACGATGTCCACTTGGAGAGAGGCTGCAAAGGAACGAGCACGGTCAGGCAGGAGCAGAGCTCTCAGCAAAAACACTCTGCCAACCTCACAACCCCCATGGATCCCTTATTCCAGTTACAGTCCACCTGAAACCTGTGTTCTGATCTGAATTACTGGTTTTAAATATGAGGGGAAGGTTTAAACACCAGGGGAAGGTTTAAACACCAGGGGAAGGTTTAAACAACAGGGGAAGGTTTTAAACACGAGGGGAAGGTTTTAAACACGAGGAGAAGGTTTAAACACGAGGGGAAGGTTTTAAACACGAGGGGAAGGTTTTAAAAACCAGAGGAAAGTTTTAAACACAAAGGGAAGGTGTTAAACAAGAGAGAAAGGTGTTAAACAAGAGAGGAAGGTTTTAAACAAGAGAGGAAGGTTTTAAACAAGAGAGGAAGGTTTTAAACAAGAGAGGAAGGTTTTAAACATGTGGGGATGGTTTTAAACAAGAGAGGAAGGTTTTAAACACAAGGAGGTTTTAAACACCTGGAGAAGGTGTTAAACACGAGGAGAAGGTTTTAAACACGAGGAGAAGGTTTTAAACTCAAGAGGAAGGTTTTAAACAGGAGTGGAAGGTTTTAAACACAAAGGGAAGGTGTTGAGAGAAAGGTGTTAAACAAGAGAGGATGGTTTTAAACACAAGGGGAAGGTTTCAAACACGAGGGGAAGCTTTCAAACACGAGGGGAAGGTTTTAAACATGAGAGGAAGGTTTTAAACACGAGGGGAAGGTTTCAAACTCAAGAGGAAGGACAGCACCCCTGCCCTCCCCATTCCCATTCCCATTCCCATCCCAGTGCCATCCACGCAGGCTCAGTGCCCTTTTCCCCCAGCAACATCCCTGCCTCCTTCTTCATTGCATAAATTATGACCCATTAGGCAGAAAATGTAATTGGATTCTGGCTCTCCTCCAGCTATAGCTTAATTCCACGGCAGATCTGCGGCCTAACAAGCCCGGGTCAAGTTGAATTTGAGGACACCAAAATGGGTTTTCTTTGGAAAACACCCTCTGTGTTTTCATGCRGTGCATGAAAATCCGAAAATCTCTCTCCCAGAGCAGCTAATTTTACCTCCAGACCACAGAGGCGTTATTTCAGCTGCCAAGCACACCTGGGGTTTTTAAGAAACATGAAAATGAAATGAAAACCTGGCTGCRTGTGCCAACGGCAACATTCCTGAAGTGCTGGGGAAACATGTGGATTGTGGGGTCAGGCATTAAGGATGGAGCTCTGCCTGCCCCAAACAGGAAAGTTCAGGAATATCAGGATTTTCTGAGCACACTCCTTTGGCCAAAAACCACCCTGACACAGCGATTCTCTCCAGAAGGAAACTGGGAGCAGAAATGGGAGCTGGGATAATCCCAGTGCAAGGTCCCTATGCTTTTCTGGTTTTCCTCTCTGAGTTCAGCAAGCTGCACTGGTTTTCATCGCTGCTCCACTGGGATTTTGGCTTTGCTGTTCAGGGAAATGGGGACTATTTTTCCCACTCTTCATTTAATAGACACTGTGAGCCCATTTGTATTCTGCTTCCAACTTCAAGCAATAAAGGCCTTTTTAGCATCACATAATAACTGCATTAAAAGGCCTCTTCATAATCACACAATAACACTTTTTATAGCTGTGCCCTCCCCCATATCTTTTATCTGGTTACAAAGTCCCCCAGCCCCCAAAAAATGCTGAATAATTCCCCATTGATTAAAAAAAAAAAAAAAAAAAAACCCAACAAATTTGTTCATGCAACTTCCTGTTCATCTGTAGTTAAATATAATTAAGTTTTGCATCTCAACAAAAGAAATGAGCTCAAATTAGGGAGTGATTTTGGTGACAGGCAGGGAGGCTGTGTCCCAGGGGGCTGTACCTGGGGAGGGAATAAATCACAGAGGAGGGGGAATTGCTGGTCCTGGATTTCAAAAGTGACACCCCAGAGTCAGGAACATTAATGCTSACACTGCTCTGCCTGATGTGTCCAGCTCCACACAAAAGGAATGTCCTGGAACACTAAATGCACCCAATTATGGATTTATTATGGGGTTAAATGGTAAATGGGAGCTCATCCCCTCACCTCTTTCCATTCCCACTGCTGCTCTACAGCCCCAGCACTTCACAGACCCCAAAATGGTACCAGTTTGGAGGTAAATAAGGATCTCCATCCTTTTGGCTCCCCTCTCTGAGCACTGGGGTCACTCAGGCTCTGGGTACCGGGGCAGCCCCATTTATGGCTTCACTCAGACCAGGATCCGGGCAGGGAATGGGGATGGAATTTGTCCTGGAGGGATCTCCAGGGGCAGCAATCCCTGTGCTCYTGCCCAGGTAACCCAGGGAACRATTCACTGCAACACCGTGTGAGYGATGCCCAGAAAAAARSMAAAWWMAAAAAAAAAACAGATTAAAAAAATTGGCAAATAAAGCGCCGTAAGGATGGAACCAGCTGTGATTGAATGGTTCCCTTTTTACAGGCTGCACCTTTAATTTCGTTCATTTCCAACAACCATTCGCCAATKAAAGGAAATCCCAGAAATCAAAACCATCGGGAATATGAACCATCTCCCGGATCTAATGGGCACAGCCCGAGGAGCGGCGTTTGTAAAGCTTGTGAGCGAAGCAGATTATGGTGAAAGCCCTCGGGATTTAATACACAACAAAGGCTTAACAAGACAAAGCCAGGCCTCCTGTACACGGTCACTTTATTAAAAATACGCTGACTGCTCAGGAGGAGGAGGCAGCAGCTGGGATTGATCCCAGCTGGGCTGCAGATCCAATTCCTCCCCCCGTCGCCATGGCAACCACTCCCTAAATCTGCCAGGAGCTGGAGGAGGGGATTGCTGCTTCCTCGGGGGAATTTGGGATCACGGGGATGGAGCGAGCTCAGCATGGAGCCACAACAAAACCGGAGAGAGACGGGAGCGAGGGCACCTCGGCGGGGCGAGCATCCCAAAAAAACAGCAGGGACTGTCCTCATCCTGCTCTGAACATCCCATAGGGTGCCAACAGGGGCATCC